ATCCCTTCACTTTCAGGTTAGTAAAACTTTACAACCTTTTTGTCGTTAACAAGTGCTGCCACGTCACTGTGACCTCTCTTACATTGTGGCATTCCGAACAGATTCCATTTACCCTCATTTTTCTTTTATTCATGGAATCTACATATATTGAATTTACTTATCTGATCTATTCATTCAGGAAAATATTAAACGATAAGGTATTTTTTCCTTCTTTGTTATGGCAACTGTGGAGATCATCGAAGGGCAAGTGAGAAGCAAGACGACTTTCCAATCTGGCATCAGTGTCTTTTTGGTCCGTCCCTCCTCCGTGTATGCAGTGTACCTGAGAACGTGTTAGGGGGCAATACCCGCATCCTACGCATCCTTGGTCAAGAACCTCCTCATTTCTTTGGAAAGGAATTCCAAAAAAAAATCTCTAAAGATACCCAGATTCCGTTAAAAATGGCGTCTTCACACGAATCAAAACCTTTTCTCGAATAACACAAAACCAATGAACGCTTTCTTCCTCGTCCTGTTGTTAGTGTTAGTAAAGGGTGATGGCTTGTCAGGGTCGTTAAGTAGGTGAAAAGAACTACTTTCTGGACGACCCCGAACGACCCCGACTTCTGGCGGACGACCACCAAAGGGTCTATTAGGGTCGTTGGCCACGGGGCTCAACACCCTCTAACACTTGCGTTTCCCGTTAACCCAGACTTTCCCATTCATCACTGACGTACCTTTGAATCGCCTGTGCCCTGTGAAAACTAACCTTACATATATAGCGTTTTTCCACCACCCCCTGTGTCTTGTGTAAACATTGTTTTTCCACCAACCCCTGTGTCTTGTGTTGTTTTTCCACCAACCCCTGTGTCTTGTGTGAACATTGTACCTGAACCATCTCGCGTGTTCCTCAACCACCAGTGTCTTGTGTGCAAAATCGTAGCTGAAACCGTATAACTTTTTTTTACAACCATCTGCGTCTTTTATAATAATGATGATGATGATCATAATGAAATAGTGTTTTTCCACCATCCTTTGTGTCTTTTGTGAACATTGTATCTGAACCATCTTGCATGTTCCTCAACCATCTGTATGTTGTGTGACATTCGTAGCTGAAACCGTATAACGTTTTATACAACCATCTGCGTCTTGTGTGAAAATTGTAGCTGAAACCATATTACGTTTTTTTTACAGCCATCTGCGTCTTGTGTAATAATAATGATGATGATAGTGATAATAATTAGTGATAAAAAATGAAGCCTTGAAAATATTTCGACATGATCTCCAGAACCTGTGTCTTATGTGAAAATCGTATCTTTCAAAAACTTCTCACGCGAAATTTTAACAGCTTAGTGTCTAGTGCTCGTAAATAAATAAGAAAAAGAAAGAAAAACACTGAAAAAAACACTATTTACTACTATTTAACTGAAAACAACACTATATTTAATGAAAACTAACAACACTGTATTTAACTGAAAACAACACTGACTGAAAACAACACTGTATTAACTGAAAACAACCAAAACAACACTGTATTTAACTGAAAACAACACTGTAACTGAAAACAACACTGTATTTAACTGAAAACAACACTATTTAACTGAAAACAACACTGTATTTAACTGAAAACAACACTGAAAACAACACTGTATTTTGAAAACAACTGAAAACAACACTGTATTTAACTGAAAACAACACTGTATTAACTGAAAACAACACTGTATTTAACTGAAAACAACACTGTATAACTGAAAACAACTGTATTTAACTGAAAACACACTGTATTTAACTGAAAAAACACTGTATTTCACTGAAAACAACACTATTTAACTGAAAACAACACTGTATTTAACTGAAAACACTATATTTAACTGAAAACACCATATTTAACTGAAAACAACACTGTATTTAACTGAAAACAACACAACTCTTTAACTGAAAACAACAACTAACTTAACTAACACTGTTTTAACTTAACACTGTATTTAACTGAAAACAACACTGTATTTAACTGAAAAAACACTGTATTTAACTGAAAAAACACTGTATTTAACTGAAAAACAACTGTATTAACTGAAACAACACTGAAACAACACTATAACTGAAAACACACTGTATTTAACTGAAAAACACCATATTAACTGAAAACAACACTGTATTTAACTGAAAAAACACTGTAACTGAAAACACTATATTTAACTGAAAAAAACACTGTATTTAACTGAAATAACACTGTATTTAACTGTTAACTGAAAACAACACTGTATTTAACTGAAAACACACACTGTATTTAACTGAAAACAACACTGTATTTAACTGAAAACAACACTGTATCTAACTGAAAACAACATTGAAAACAACACTGTATTTAACTGAAAACAACACTGTAACTGTATTTAACTGAAAACAACAACTGTATTTAACTGAAAAACACTGTATTTAACTGAAACTGAAAACAACACTGTATTTAACTGAAAACACTGTATTTAACTGAAAAAACACTGTATTTAACTGAAAACAACACTGTATTTAACTGAAAAACAACACTATATTTAACTGAAAACAACACTGTATTTAACTGAAAACAAACACTGTATTTAACTGTAAACTGACTGTATTTAAACTGAAAAAACACTGTATCTAACTGAAAACACCTGAAAACAACACTATATTTAACTGAAAACAACACTGTATTTAACTGAAAACACAAAACTGAAAAAACACTGTAACTGTAACTGAAAACAACACTGTGAAAACTGACTGACTGAAAACAACACTGTATCTGACTGAAAACAACACTGAAAACAACACTGTATCTGACTGAAAACCTACTCACTGAAAAAACACTGACTGAAAACAACACTACTATCTGACTACTGTATCTAACTGAAAACAACACTGTATTTAACTGAAAAGAATTATCTGTCCATAGTAGGCGCTGTACCCCTGAAACTCCTGATCCAAATTCTGATACAAGGAAGAAATCGAAAGAACCTTAAACACCTGTTTATTTTTCTCTTTACTTCTCCTTTTTAATTATATAATGAACAAAGGTCTCACTTAGTTCTAATCTAATGAAGATTAACTTTATCACTTGAGTTTTGATTCGCCTTTTAATCTTTCAGTATTCACTTCAGATTAACCACGAATTCCTGGATATAAAGTGATAATACAAGAACGAGTTATGTAATGCTGTGTTGTTATCAGTGCCGAATATTCCCTTAATGCAATTGAAAAAAAAGAAAAAAGAAAAGAAAAAAAAAGAAAAAAAGAAAAAAAAAATATATATACACACACACACAATATAATAGTGTTTATTCTAGCGCCTTAATATTTGTTTTCCATGATTTCCATGGAAAATGGATAAAAAAAAAAAAATGTTTCATAATAGTCATCGTAAATATTGTTATGTAATTATCATCATCCTTCTCCTTTATCATCATTATCCTTCTCATCATCATCGTCGTAACCATCCTCCTCTTCCTCCTCCTCCTCATCATCATCACCATCATCATTATCATCATTTTCTCTTTACTTCTCTTTTTAATTATATAAAGAACAAAGGTCTCACTTGTCTCTAATCTAAAGAAGATTAACTTTACCACTTGAGTTTTGATTCGCCTTTTAATCTTTCAGTATTCACTTCAGATTAACCACGAGTTCCTGGATATAAAGTGATAATACAAGAACGTTATGTAATGTCTTGTTATCAGTGTCGAATATTCCCTTAATAAAAAAAAAAAAAAAAAAAAAAAAAAAATATATTATATATATATTATATATATATATATATATATATATATATAAATACTGTAATTGTTTATTCTAGCGCCTTAATATTTGTTTTATTTCCGTTGATATTAGTACAACAGTGTGGTCGAAAATGGATAAAAAAGTAATTTAAGTTTCATAATAGTCATCGTAAATATTGTTATGTAATTATCATCATTATCATCATCCTTCTCCTTTATCATCCTTATCCTTCTCATCATCATCGTCATAACCATCCTCCTCCTCATCATCATCATCATCACCATCATCATTCTTTTTCTCATTTACCTCATCAACATCATCCTTTTCTTCTTCCTCCTCCTCACATCACCATCGTCATCATCATCATCGTCGTCATCCTAATCCACATCGTCATCGTCGTCATCATCATCATCATCATCATCATCATCATCACCATCATCATCATCATCACCATCATCATCATTCTATTTCTCCTCCTCCTCATCATCGTCATCTTCACCATCAATCATCACCATTCTTCTTCTTCGTCTCCTCCTTCTCCTCATTCATCATCATCTTCATCATCATCATCATCATCAATTATCACCATCCTTCTTCTTTTCCTCCTCATTCATTATCATTATCATCATCATCACCACCACCATCAATCATCACCATCCTTCTTCTTCCCTCCTCCTCCTCCTCATCTCATCATCATTCATCATCATCATCATCATCACCATCAACCATCACATTAACACCAATTTCTATGCCAGAAGTACTCTCCAGTATCCAACTATGAAATGGTCGTTCTGTACAAGTGGCATTCTTCAGTCTATGACTCTTTAGCGCATATCACACTTGACCTCTGACCCCTGGAGGACTTCTTAAACGCGCGGGCACACACACGCACACGCATACATAGAAACGCACACATACATACACGCATACACACACTCACTCACGTATTCACATTAAACACACACACACACACATTTTTATTAAACACGCACACACGCACACAACACACACACACACACACACACACACACACACACACACACACACACACACACACACACACACACACACACACACAAACACACACACACACACACACACAACAACCCCCCCACACACACACATACAAACACACACACACAAAAAAAACACCCCCTCCCCTCCCCTCCCCTTGAACACCAAATCAAGCACACACAAACAAACACAAACAAACAAACAAAAACTCACTGTTATGACGTAATGGCGATCACCGCAATCTACATCCAGAT